TCCTTATGCATAAGTCCACTCCCACACTCTTCCCTTCCCGCTCCCCCTTTCCTTTATAGTAACATCCTGCGCAGAATCTGTCTATCCCTGGAGTATCCTTCTACCTCTGGTATCTGCTTCACGCGTCTATGGTTAGTCTTCGCCTCGTTCCCTTCCCGTCCGCCCTTTTTTCTCCGCCCTTCCCCCCTATCATCGTCTTTCCTTGACAGCAGCTTCACTCGCTCGTGGTTCGTCTCTTCCTCCCCCCCGATCATCGTGAAAAAGATCCCCCCCACGCACCCCTCGTCAATCGTCTGTGCTTCGTCGTACACCCCTCTTTCTCCCTACTTCTGGTACACTCTTGCCCTGGCAGCATCTTCACTCGTTCGTGGTTCGTCTCTTTCCCCCACCTTCCCCCTCGCCATTTCTTATTGTTATCGTTATTATCGTTATCAGGTCTGAAGAACGAGACGGAGAAGGCCCGCAGTCGGGCTGCCCGGCGACTGGACTGCTTCATGAAGGAGCTGTCCGTTCCGCTGAGCCGCTACCTGGCGGGGTTCCCCCCTCCGGGGCGACTTCACCCCTTCGAGGGGGCGCTGCTGGCGCTGACGGTGGGGGAGGGCAACTACAAGGCGGCGCTGCAGCGAGTGGATCGGCTGAGGCGGGCGGTGCAGGTAACCTGGGGGCGGCGGGCCCCGAGTGTGGATGTGGAAGGAGGGGGGGAGGGTGAGGATGAGCAGATCGGGCAGGGGAAACGGCGGGGAGGATGTGGTACACGACAGGCTAATTGTGGTGGGTAACGATGTTACATGTCCATGCATGTATTGTATGTATGTATCTAAGTATGTATGTATCTAAGTATGTATGTATGTATGTATGTATGTATGTATGTATGTATGTATGTATGTATGTATGTATGTATGTATATGTGATGTTTATAATGATCTCCGGAGCCGCGATGAAGGAAATGCCGGCGGGGTAACTTCATCATACATATACACCGAAGTGAGATCCATGGAAGGCCACACACACACACACAGGGACATAAGCGCGGCGACTTGCCGGTCCTAACTCTAGGAGCGAATGAAGGGAATGGAGGGAGAAAGAAGTTGTTGGAGCAGGAAGTACATGCTCATGGACGGCGATGAAGTGTATGTATGTATGTATGTATGTACGTATGTATGTATGTATGTGAGTGTGCTCGTATGTGTGATTTTTCCCCCGTGCTCTCCGAGCCGCGAGGACGACGGGTTTAAGAGCTTGCGTGAGCTCTTGTATGTGTGTGTGTGTGCGTCTTTTTTGGTCTCGCCGTTGTTGTGTCATCGTTGATATTTTCTTGTGTTTTGATGTGCTGCAAGAATTTCCTCTCCTGGCCTATGCTACTGCTGCTAACTGCTGCTCCTAACCTTACCCCTGCTTAGGAGGTGGGCAAGGGAGCTGCTAGCCGGGCGGGGAGCGCCCCCAACCGGGCCGCAGCTACCGCCCTGTCCGAGGAGGGGGTGCAGGCCTTAGAGACGGTGTTCACAGCTGGGGCGCGGTGAGGACGTGAAGGTTGGGGGCGGGGGGGGAGGGGAGGGGATTGGGGGGGAGATATTTAAAAGGTGTCTTTGGCGGTGTTGGCGGTGGTAAGAGGAGGAGGAGGTGATAATTGGAAAGCAGAGAGAGCTGGTCGTGATGTGGTGTGTGGCGTTTCATCCAGCCACTATGTCATCCTATCCTCGCTTACAAACAGACAGACAGACAGACAGACACGACTAAAACCGACTGGGGCAGTTGGTGCCAGTTAGACACTCACGGCACCCCACACCCTGCACACACACACACACACACACACACACACACACACACACACACACACACGTCAGCATACACAGTTGCGCCTTTGCATCGTCCCAATCCCATCATGATTGCAACCCACCCCTGCTCCAACCCCCCACAACACCATCACCGCCACGACTCCGTCCCCTCCCCCCTCCCTCTGTCGACGCAGTTGACCCACCCTTCTTGCTTCTTGCATGATTCCCCTCTCTCCCACCCACTCCCTCCCACTCCGCCCCCTCTCTCCCCCTCCCTCCCCCTCTTTCCCTCCCCCCCCTCCCCTTCTCTCCCACTCCCTCCCCCTCCCCCTCTCCCTCGTCCTCCGCAGCCACGTAGATGACTTGAAGGAAATCGCCAAGAAGCTCCGCTCCCTGCCCTCCCTGGACACCTCCCTGCCCACCCTCGCCCTGGTGGGCGCCCCCAACGTGGGCAAGAGCAGTCTGGTCAACATCTTGTCCAGTGGTACGCCCGAGGTGTGCAACTACCCCTTCACCACCCGCTCCATAAAGATGGGGCACTTCTATTTGGACGCGCAGAAGCATCAGGTGGGTGAGGCATTGGGGCGAGAGGGGGGGTGGGGTGGGGGGGTAATGGGGAGGGCTTGGGAGGAATGGTTTAATGGGGATGGTGGAAAAGGTGGTTTGAAGGCTATATGGGTGAAGAGGTGGAGTGTGTGAGTGGGGGTGGGGCGGTGGGGGTGAGGGGAGAAGGTGAGGGTGGATACAGGCTGGCCTATGCCCGAGCTGGAATTTAAACACCCTCCTTTTTCTCGTACAGCCTTCTACACACCACCCACCATCACCACCCTATTTCCCCTCGCCCCCTTCCCACGCGGATCCACATTGACATTCATATCCTCACGCTTAACTTCACCCACATCCCCTCTTGTTTTGTGCATTAGTATTCTCACCCTCACCCTCACCCTCACCCTCACCCGCCTCCTTGGTCCCGACGCCGCAACCGCCAAACCGCAAACCGCAAACAAGGTAACCGACACCCCCGGTCTTCTGCGCCGTCCCGATTCGCTCCGAAACCGCATGGAGCTGCTCACCCTCGCCGCCCTGGGCTGTCTGGACGCTGTGGTGGTGTACGTGGTGGACCTCACTGAGGAGTGCGGGACCAGCTTGTCGGATCAGTGGGCGATACGGAAGTGCGTGCGTGCGTGTGTGTATGTACGGATGTATGTAGAGTGCGTGGGGGAGGGCGTGAAGGAGCTGGGGGGAGGGTTTTGGGGGAGGGGGGAGAGAAGACGGGAGGGGGCAATTTGGAAAGACGGGGGAGGGAGAACGCTGGGAAGCGGCGCGTGCAGGTGTGTATGGGATGTGGAGGAAGAGGAGGAGGGGAAGGTGCTGGTGGGAGGGGTGTCTCGCTTGGGATTTGTTTTCGGCGTTGGGGTGTGTGTGTGTGTGTATTGCACTCAGCCAATTTTGCCTGTCCTTCCGTACCCCGCTACCTTGGGTATCTGCTCCATTCGCCAGTGGTTCGTCTTACCAAGTAGGGCCCTGCCTGTGTTTTCATCCCCCGCCGGTAGCTCCCCCTCTCCCCCCCCGGGGGCCATGCGTTACAGCTGAGCACGCGAAGACCGGCACGCGGCCACCTGCCTTTGCTCACCACCGGGGGCTCGTGTGTGTATATGCGTGCAGAGAAGTACGACAACGCTTTCCCGACAGACCTTGGATTGACGTACTGTCCAAGGCTGACATGCTTCAGGTGGGGTTTGGTTGGGGGCCGAAAGGGGGGCTGCGGCACGAGGGTGTGTGTTCCTGCCGTACCTGCCGTACATACGTGGTGTTGTAGACACGTGTGCACTATGGTTTTGTTTTTGTTTGTTGTTTTACCACACCACTGGGCATTATCACGGTGCGCGCGTTGGTAGACACGCGCTCGCGTATCGCCAGATACGCGAGATGCGATGATGATTTAATTTAAGTAAAAAAAAAGCCACAACGCTCTTGCGCTTATGGCATGCTTCCGTCCGTCCGTTTTATCGAAACCCTGCAGGGCACGTTTGCTGTGGCGGACGAGAGGATACGGCAACAGCGACGGGACGCCTCCGACACCGCGGCTGCAGCGTCGACGGCTGTGGATGATGCCGATGGCATGTACGGCAGTGTTAACGGCGACGGCGCGCCAGGTACCAAGGCACCGGCGTTAGTGACGGCGACGACGGAAACCGAGATGGACGGGCCTGAAGACCTATCCGCCGTAGAATTCACTGTACGGCTGCCGTACGCCGTACGCATTTCATCATTGACACATGACGGCATTCCACAGCTGCAGCTGGCCATTATTCAAATGTTGCGGGCGAGAGCGCAAGCCCAAAGAGCACGAGCCCAGCAACAAGAAATAAAACATCATAATAATCACGGTCGCGATCAGCAGCATCAGCATCAGCATCAACCGCCTGTTTCTCCTTCTCCGCCGTCACCGTTATCGCAGTCTCAGCATCCACAGGTTGCGGAGGCTGTGGAGGGGAGTCCGGAGATGCAGCAGGGAGGGCAGGGCCAAGGAACGACGCGCCTGGTAACCTTCTTTACGTCTTAGAAGAGGTAACCCAAAGGCTAAATAAACAAAGGTTACCCGGGGCTAGCCGGGGTGGCGTGGGGGAGGTGCCTGGCTTGGTGCGGCTTTGCGACAAGGCCTTGGCGCACCCATGGCCATTCCGTATGATTTCCGTCTGACTTGCTTTTTGCGTTGCTTTACCCACCATCATGCCAAGTCAGCTTGTCGTCGCAGCACTGATGATGCTGCGAAAACAAGGTTTTCGGTCATTCGGAGAATTCGGAGAGGATTGTCTAAAAAACATTTGGTCGCATAGCTGCTGCATTGCTGTGACAGCGTCATCATGTAAAGCTCCCCTCGCCCCACCCCACCGCACCCAAAGGTCCCTGTGACCTGTTTTCGCTTCAAAAGGTTTTATGTGTGGAAGGGTTTTGAATAATACGCTTGACAGTGGAAAACAGTTATGGTGGCGTCTGTGTGGAGTGGGTGGAGGTAACCGCAGTTTCTGAATTTCTGCTGGTGTGGTTTGCTGAAATCGGTGAGTGTTTCCGTCGCCGTCGTGAATGTGCAAGGGACGTGCTCATTAACGTTGTAACTTTTCTTGTTTCTTCCCCCGTTGCGTTGCATCACGGCACGTTTGCCTGGTATGAAGTTAGATTCAAAGGGGTTGCGGTCAGAGGCGTGCCCACGACGCCAGCTTTGTCAATCCTGGGAATGATCAAAGGTCACCGCCCGCCTAACGATAAAGGTGTTTTCCGGAGCGATTGTAGGATGTCGTGTTAAAGGGCCAATGTACGTCCGATGTACAGCACGTCTGGAAGTAAGTTCTGGAGGTACGGTCATGATACGGCCTTGGGCGTAATCTCAATTTGTAATGGCACATGCAGCTGTCAACAAGTAATGAAATCCCAACCGATCTCAGTCTTGTAAGAAATGGAACATGATTCTTGTTATTATTTATTATGGTAACGAGGGACACAGACTGTTCCGCACTCAGTGTGACAAATTTCAAATAACCGCAGGAAATGAAGGTCTACTCTTGCAACGCCGGCCAAATAGTAAAAAAATATATTTGGTATCCCTATCTTTTTGGTATTGGATGCCACATGATAAGGCGCGATACGATCAGATACGATCAGAACTTGTCTGTTACTGGCTCTATGTCAAACTCCATGCGGTCTTGCGCTTTGCGACTTTTTAGTCATGTTTCCAGCGCGATGTAGCATGAGTAGTATGTCGCTCGTTTTCGCTCGTAATTTCCAAACCAATGGCCAGAAAAATCTGTGCCTGTCAATCGAGTCCGTTGTTCGCAGCTGCTGCAGCAGCTGCTGCAGCTGCAGCATGTGGGTGGTTGAAGTTTGGGTTGGTCTTGGCCGCAAGCCGTCCCAGCTGCTCCAACCACTCGCTCGCAAACCACCCGCCAACCTGCCAGCCCCAGCAGACATGGGGATTGCCCTAGCTTTCAGGATGATGTCATGTACTCGATCCCCTTCATGTACCCCGAGACAGTGAAACGGTCACCGCCATTTTAGAGACAAGCCCTCTCTCAAATACCTCTGGCTCGGGCCCAATCCCGGCCACATACCGGCTGTATACCCCCCCTTTTCCTAACAGTTGACAATTCCCGTTCTCGTCAAATGTCATCTTCATAACCGCGCCATTGCTTTTGGACGAAGTTCAGCACCATCGCAAGACTACCGCGCGCGTGCTACGTTAGGGAAGTTGCTAGAGATCCACCAGAAGGTGAAAATACGCGAAACCAGCAGACGCAAAACATCCTTCTAAATGCGGCAAATTTAAACGCTTCACCTGACCCACCATATGCAAGTAAGACATGAAAAACCTGCGATAAGTTGTAAGCTCTAAGAAATGCCGTAAAGACACTGCAAACGTACTCGCTGAACAGTGACACAAGTAGTCAAAAGTGTACAGCTACGAGATAGACGCCGAAAGCTTTTTATAATCGACCTTTTAGATCGCGCGCTTTCCTGTGCCTGTCAAACCTGTCAACAGTTTTTCTGGGGGATGGATGTCCTGAAGAGCATCTCAAAACGATCGCACAAGGTTCCGAGAAAATTGTGCAGCTGTAATGTAAAAAAATGTAAATCGGAAATTCTTGGTCGTGTTTGGGAGGGGGTTGTTAACGCGCGACAGAGGGAGAGGGAGAGGGAGGGAAAGAGATGGGGAGGACAAAGGAAGAGAGAGGAAGACACACGTACATCCATGGAAGCGGTCAAAACATATTTACATGGTCGCCATCATCATCAATTTTCAATCGCTGCTTTGCCATGAGACGACGGAAGCTTGCCATTGCACTTTATCACGATAGGCGCCCAGATCGCACCGGGGTTAAAAGGCCCTGCCAGGCGAACAAAGTGTATTTGTGCCTGTGCATGCCTGCGGCGCGTATCGGTATGTATGTATGTATGTATCTTAGTACGCGGCTGCATATGTATCCTTTTCCTTTCCCACCCTCAACCCCGGGCCTCTTGCCTTCCGCACGCCAGAGCAAGAGAGTCACTTAACCGAGATCCTAAAGATCAAAGCCGGAAAACACAACTGTACGGCACAACTGTACGGCAGATGTATCAGTACACGTACATACGCACCAAACTTGCGCACAAATACTCGTAGGAACCTGCGACACGGTGCCCTATATGATTCATTGCCCTCTGACGAAAACAGCCATGCATTTGCACTTTTTTTTGCAGTGAACAAAAAACCAAATCAGGACTGCTGTCGCTAAATTGGACTGCTGTAAACCTCTAAACCTCGACTAGAGCCTTTTTTTTATTTATTTAGCATTACAGTCAAACTGCTAATAACAAATCGACAAACTGATGCATCTTCTGCTAAAAGTCCTACAGTCGAGAGCAGCCTGGCGAACCCCACATCCAAATCCACCACCATCATCACCGGATGGTCGACGAGGACACAACACACGAGCACCCGCATAGAGATAAATTTTTCTTTTGCCACCGCGGATAGAGAAGCGGAATGAGGTATGCGAGTTTTGTTTTAAACTGAGTCGCCCACCGCCAGAGGGCCCCCTCCCCCCAGGCGGCGTCGGCAACATCTCGAAAACCCCCTCCCCCCTCCCCCGGATCCCCCCCATCCTTTCCACCACAAAGTGATATCCGCCGCAATATCAAACTGGCGGTACGACGTACGACACGTGCAGCCTTGTAGGTACGAAGAATAATATTGCAACGATCGGCTTTTCAGGTTGTCACATACCCAACGGAAACAATACACAGAGCTTTATATCACATCATCAGATGACAAGATGGGTTTTGGAGGGATGTAGTACACGAATTGAATGAGAAAGCATGTGGACGAGGTAATCAAAGTGAGGACAGCGGCGGAGGCTGCTGTGGCTGTGGCTATGGTGACAACCCGCCGCCGCTCATCCACCAATTCACATCAAGTTCTCTCACTATAAGGCAGGTCGGATCAGCGCGCTTCGAAGCTTATTATCCGACTTGCCGTACCGCTTGTCGTGCTGCATGCGCATCGACACCTTAACAAGATAGATTCAAGGAGAGTAAAGAGAGCCAGCCATTGCAGTACAACCTCATCAGTACATTATACATGATACCAACAAGAAATGTGGCCACGAGCGTTTCCCCGTTATTACTAACCGTAACAATATTATTACTAGTACTGCTGCTACTGCGCTACTACTGCGGCAGCGACCAAAGCGACTGACAACGCTGCACTTTGTCGTGTAACAAAAAGGACCGGATGCCTTTCGAAACGTAGATAGATAGATATGGATGGAAGGAACGGAGGGCAAGGCGGACAGACAGACAGACAGGAAGGCAAACAGAAAAAAGCAGACGAGCGGAAGCACCTGAACATCGTAACTAAGATATACCAACGGTAAGTTTGGGAAATATGCGCAAGGCCCGAAATCCATGCACGCGTATCCAACACACGTCTACATCTATAGTCGTCATCCTCCTCCTCCCCATCCTCCTCCTCCGGCCCGAAGCTTCCTCCTCCTTCCGTACGAAAAGGCAAACATACATACACATGCAGACACGACGTTCGCTCCCCCTCCCGAAATCCCCACAAAAGCGCGGATGCATCCGTTGCCCCTACATTGACATTGCGCATCGTGGGTGCACACACCTCTCTCTCTCACCAACGTAGATGCAAGCGCACATGACCACACGCATTTAAACACACACACACATACATACATACATACATGTAAAAAAACACAGCACGCAAACGCTTCTTTCAGTTACATAACGTACGGCGCAAAACACATCATGGGGCACCCACGTGGGACCGCGTCACCGATAAGCTGCACACGATATATGCAAAACCTCAGGACCACGACCTCCACCCCAACACAAAACAGAAAACCAAAACGGAGCGACGGGAGAAGCAAAGAACATGCACCCTATCCACATACATACACACAGACAGACGAAATACCCTATAGCCGTGGCGGTAATGATGCCCACACTTGCCGGCAGTCTGCAGAGCACGCAAGCACGGGCCGCATGGGTCGTTTCCGTGGCAAGCACCCACCACGCAAATTTATCGTGATGATGCACAAATCACAAATCACAAAATGTTCTGTGAGAGTGTACTTGCACCCACCATCTTCCTCTGTCTGCTACCCCTCGGCAAATCTATCTGAAGCCCCACACGAGAATACTAAGTATGGAAGGGCTGCTGGCGTGATGACTGTACCTGGAATAGTGTGTGTGCGCATGCATGTGTATATATGTATGTATGTCGTATGTATGTATGTATGCGTGTACATGCCTATATAAGCAAGTCCGCATGTATGTATGTATGTATGTAAGTCTCTTACGTTTTCATACATCCGGATCCACCGGGGTGGAAGCGCAAAGCGACGATGGCGCGACAGAATGCTGGCAGGCATTGCCTAATCTGGCAGGCATAGCCTATTGGTGCTAAAAGTGAAGTGTCTTAAGTGGAAGAACACGACCAGTAAGCTTAGGTGGAGGACAGGGTCCCAGGCCACCATCCCGAGCTCCCCATTAGGCGCACCACATCACACCACATCACATCACACCACATCACATCACATCACATCACATCACACCGCACCACAAAAAACAGAACGAAATATATAACTCATACCACGTCACGTCGTACACACGGTAATGCAACCCGTACCGTACGACATCGTGCCACACAGTACCTGAACTGCAGTGTGCCGGACTGGACCTAAAACGCTGTACGTCAGGCATCAGGCACCTTCCCGGAGACTTGTGATCCCAAGACGCACCGTGTCGTACACAACAAATACACACAAACGGTACCAGGGGGCATCCCCTGCCCCTTCCCCCCTTCTTTGTCTCGGAGTCCCTCTGCCCCTTCCCCTTCCGTCGTCCTCAGAGCATTCAAACCACGCAACCAACCCTCTTTTCATTTCAGCTCCGAAACCCCACAATAACGAGATCTCACTCCGCCAACACCTCATCTCCCCTAAATGACGACCGCTGCCAGCACCTCCATCGCCGTGCCATTCCGTACAGGCAAAATAAAACCCTACCAGTATGAGTTTGGCTCTTTCATGCCCGCTCGGTACGGGCGTGAAGGTGCAGCTTCAGAGGTGTCGGACAGATATTTATGGAAAATTCATTTGCGAAGGCGCAACTTTGCAGATCAGGTCAAGACTGCAAAAGATGAAAAGGTCGCGCACGTAGGTCATTTTGGTGTCATTTTGGTCCGTCGTTCCGCCGCTCCTTCCGCAGAAATCTGTCAGATCGACTCAAAAGGTTCCGAAAACGATGTAGTACGTAGTACGGAATGTACGGAAATGCCGTTGCCCGCCCCATATACGCACGATTAATAATTGTCACAAGAGTACTGTACATCGCAGTACATGCTGTACATCCCTGCTTAGCGCGATTCAGATTTGCGCATCATCACCACCACCTGCTAGTAGTATGACTACTACTACGACTACTACTACTAAGACGGCTACGATCGACCGAGAGATGGCGCGATGCCTTGCGCCAGGTGTTGACGTGCCCTGAGCGCTCGCATTAAAGAGTCGATTTGGCGGGTATGTTTCCCGCTCTCCAAATTCCCTTCTTCCCTCCCCTCTGGACGAGCTCATACCCACAGCACAACCATATGCCGTACAGTGCAGCGCGCCTCGCACGGCGCCTGCGTGAAGCCCCCGTAAGCGTTCTCTCTCTCACACACACGTGCACGTCCTGACCGGTATCCAAAACTCTTTGCACAACCAATCCCAAACCGATCTCCAAATCCCCCAACCAGCCACGAAACAAGGAAAACCCAATCGGCCAACGCACATAAAGCCACCCCCCGAGGTTATTGGAGCGCGATGTGGCCGGCTCCCTAATAAAACACCCGTACATATGCAAGACAGAACTTAGAACGAACCGATTTTGGGGGCAGGATGAGGGGCCAGGAGGGTCACTAAAACCCTAGGGATAGCACAGATTGGGAAGGGAGAGAAAGAGGCGGGAGAGAGAGAGAGAGAAAGAGCGAGCAAGCGAGCGAGCGAGGGATGGGGCGATGGGGAGGAAGCGGGCGGGAGAGGAGAGTGCGGCTAGAATTGGGCGACGACATTGGGAAGTCGCGTGTCCATATGTATCTATGTAATGTACGTCACTGTCGTATATGCCTACTACTTGAAACCCTCCATCCGTACCGAAGAATATCCTGGAATCCCGTACAACCATCCGTCCATATCCATATCCGTATCCACAGCCACAGCCGAAACCGGAAAGTGTATTTGAAAAAACGCAGTGCAACGAAAGAGGGATGCATGGGGGTTGGGTTTTGGGAATGCATTGTGACAGATACCAGTGGAAAACGCGTACGGCAGAAATTGAAACGTACGACACCAGACCGAGGCCCCCAAGACCATATGCACTGACACAGCAAGGGCGGCGACGACGACAATGGCGATAATGACGATGAAGATAATATGCCAGCAGCAGCTGCAGCAGCAGCAGCAACAATGACAACAACGTTGCGGAAACGATATAAAATGCAATATGCTGCATCAGTTGCATCTTAATATCGCCCCTAAGTTGCCAATAAAGTGCAGCCGCAGCGGTAGCAGCAGCCAGAGCAGCAGCTACAGCAGCAGCAGTAGCACTTCCAGCGAAATCTAGAAAGTGCACTCCCATTCCCCGGTCGGCATGTCTGTACGTCTGTATATCAACACGCAACAGCACGGTATGCGCAAACACGGTACGGCACGTGCCAGACGGTTTCTGTTATAGTTGTTGTTCTCGCTGTGTGGACAGGTACATACACGTCAGCATCACCCTACTTCTACGGAATCACCCAGCGGTATTGCCAACGTACATAACTCCCCCCCCCGCGCTCAGAGCCCTCCCCAAAAGGGAGGCGAGGGCGGGGAGAAGGGCTGCTTAATACCTTGGATGGATGATACTGTGTGTGTGTGTATTTGCGGGGTTTTTCACCCGCTCACGTCGGTCTCTCACACCTCCAGGGAGGACTATACAAACCCTAGAGAGCGCCGCCACATCGCCAACAGGGGCCCCCTCCCCTCCTCCGTACAAGGAGTGGAGGGAAGGTCGATGGAGTAGCAGCCAAACCAGATCACCAACGCCCCCCATACACATACATACATACATACATACATACATACATATGCGCACAGGGGTCCCAGGGGGGTGCCAAACCCAATGAGCAGCACACGGCCGCTATCCAACCCCCCTCCGGGGGGATTGCGGCGGCCCCCCTGTGTCGTACTCACACAGGGACCAGGGGGCCCCCCGCCACTACGCATGGTGGGGACATACATACATACATACGCACGTACAACCGCATAGTTTTCCCCCCCCCCCCAATACCCACGGCAGGGAGCAAGACTGCAAGTCAGCCATACACGGCAATCGATGATCATTTTGATCGTACGCAAACAGGACAAAAGCTGCTTAAACCTGGCGAAAGGCCTCTCCTGGTACTTTTTAACCATTCGCTCATCATCCGCAATCCAACTCCGCATGGAATTTTAGTACGCATTGACGGTAAGTTAGTTAATTGCTAAACTCAATTTCTTCTTCTCCTCCTTCCCCATCCGCTAAAAGTGAAATCCCTTGCATCCGCAGTATTAAAAGCAATGGCAGTCACAAAAGCAAAAACACATGTGCCGTACACCCTGCCGTACACCCTGCACTGTTCCGAAACCGTTACTCTCTTATCCGCCCTCCTGCTGCTTTTTCCACACTCCGGAAGTGCCGTACATACGTGCCGCATAATATCCAAAGATTCCGCGACCGAGATTGGAAGCGCACTGAAACGATGTGTAATAACAACACACACAAGCACACGTGCCGGGGGAGGGTGCACAACATTCACCGCAACGGCAAACCGCAACGGCAAACCGAAAATTTACCCCGGACGACGCGAGAGCTATTACGGTTATCAGACACCAAGAGATATCGGAAATGTCGGCCCACGCTTTAAGAAGTGCGCAAGCTGCATAGATTAAAATGTTTCCCTCAACCCCCGAGCGCAATATCGTACATTCGTACAACAGCACATCAAGCTGTTCCTGGCCGCCCACGACCATCCGGCTAGTCGACAGCCAAAAAACGCACGCATTAGTGAGCAACTAGGGTTTTAGCCTTCGCCTTAGCTAAAACCCTAAAATGGTATTAAAACCCAAATAAAACCCTTCGCAGCCAAACAATCCACAATGCCTTTCCGCAAGCAAACCACCGTTCCGACACCCAAGCAAACCATACAAACAACAAACCTCGTCTCCAACCACCGTGCCGCTTTATTGAAATGGCGTGTAGCAACATGGACGCACGTGCCTTGTAAGACGTGTGTACGTGAGTGCTTTCGATTGTGTCGTTGGTAATGAAAGGCCGTTCCGTACAGGTCGTACGTCCATTATACGGCAAGTACGCTTTCGAGTACTGCGGCTATGTTTCGTTTCCGCACCGGGAGTCCGTTCCTTCAGGGCGCGTCCTAGTACCTCAGGGCGTACGACACAACCGTACGATGGCGGGCCCCCGTGGCTCGTACTTTCAAGTGAAGGCAGAGAGCCACGGCCCTCGCAAGGCGCGCCCTCCCCACCATTTTGCTATAGACGGTTGACAGTTGACGGTTGACAGTTAACTCGCCCGATGCGATTCGCAACGTCGGCAGGCCGATGTCTGATCGAGGGGGAAACTCGAGCCATACCTGAGGTCATGTTTCTGATTTCCCGGGTTTCCTTTCCGCCTTTTCTCTGCTTTTAAATTGGCTGAAACTTCGTTGTTGTTGTTGTTGTTGTTGTTGTTGTTGTTATTGTTGTTGTTGCTCTATGTCCTTGTTGTTGACGGAACCTGGAGCTCCAAACTTCCCGTGTCGTCCCGCTGTCAAAACTCTCTCTCACAGAGAAGACACGTGTTCGTGTCAGTGGCGCCGAAACCACCCCTGGCGGAGGTGGGAGCACCAGAAGAGGGATGTGCCGGCCTGCAAGTGTGGGTCTTCTAGCCGTCCGCCGATTGCGTAACCTCTCGTACCAATGTACGGCGGTACTCGTACAAGCTGCGCGCATCTCGTACAAGCCAAGCCGAGCCTACCAATGAGATGAGTGCGAGATGGGTTCTCCGATTTCGGGGGTTGCGAAGGTCACAGGGTCGACGGTAGCGTTGACGCCGCCGCCGCCGCCGCCACCGAGGATGCGACCGGGCCCGGGCATAAGCAGCGTTTCGCCGCCGCCGCCGCTTCCGCCAGAAGGCACCCTTGTACTGCGGGCAGCGGCCGTGACAGCTGCCTCGCCGCTGCCGTCACCTCGCAGTCCTCTCATCACCGCTGCCGTATCCGCTGCCGTACCCGCCATACTTGCCGTACCTGATCGCATACACGAAGAAAGCAGCGGCGGCTGCTGTACCATCCATGGGTCTTCTTCCGGAAGGTGGTAATGGGGTTGGTACGGCGGCGGCGGGTACAACGGCTCCGGAGTGCCGTACGGCCACTCGTACAAGTAAGGTGGTAGATGCTGCTGTTGTTGGGACTCTGCTGCAGCTGACTGGACGCAACCGGCGGCGGCGGCGGGGATGGGGTTGGCGGCTGCTGCTGCTGCGGCGGCGGCGGCGGCGCTAAGGGTGGCATCGCCGCCTCCGGCCGCGGCCCCATCCATCCCGTGCATTCTTGCCGTACGTGGAGGACCCCGGCACACGTGGGGCGGCGGGAGCATCCCTGGCGGCATCCCGCCGGGAACCAACGGCCAACCGCCGCTTGTGCTCGGACCAACCGCCGATGACATCCCAGCCCCCCCCAAAACCCTAGGACGAGTGTACGGCGAGTACGGCGGTGGGTACGGAAGACAATACGGTGGCGGGGGATACGGCGGGTATGGAGGGTAATAACCAGGATGGTAGTACGGTGAGTACCCTCGGTAATACGGACGTCGTACGGGACCCATGCCGGCGTGTGCGAAGCCGGTGCACGCCAGCGGTGGCGGCGCCGCCGCTCCCCCAGCTGGCGGGTACGGCGCCGCCGCAGCTGACGAGCCGCCATTTATTTGCTCGGCAGTGGCAACGCCGGATCCGCGGCCCATAGGTAACCCACAGACATCCGACATGGCTGTTGGTTCTTCCAGGACGCCCGCCGCCGCCGCCGCCGCCATGGCGCCCGGGTGCGACGGCGGCAGCGACGGGCGGGGCCGCGGCGGCGGCGTCCAGTACGACTGCGGGGATGTTTCCGCCTGGTGCACTGCTACATCCGGTGGGGAGTGTTGTCTTAGCTGCTGCCGCTGCTGCCTTCGAGCTGTGGCAACAGCCACGTCGTACAACATCGGCAGGCAGTTTGACGAGCCAGATGCGCACGATGGCGCCGCTGCCGCTGACGTCATCGTAGCCAGCGGATACGGAGGCTGTTGTACGGCAGGTGACCTGGAACCGCAGCCGCCGCCGCCGCTGAGACCCGCTACCGGCGGGTTCAGCGGCGGCGGCTCCGCTGCCGCCAGCAGACCGCAGTTGGGATCTTGTAAAGCCGCCGCCGCCGGCGGCGGCGCCGCCGCCGCCAGCCGACCCGATGCATGGTGGACGCTGGCGTTACTCGGGCCGGGTTGGCCCCAGGGGCCCTGATGTGGTGCCGCCGCCGACGGCAACCGTACGACACTGCTCGTACTACAGTGGCTTGGTGCCGCTGTCAGCACTTGGGGCTCACTCACCGGCGGGCTGCCATCCGGCCCCGCACCGAAACCACCAGGATGTGGGTGTTGGTTCAGGAGCGGCAATGCCGTACACGATGAGCGGTGCATACCGCCTAGCGGCCCTGCGGTGGAAGTAAAGCTCGGTTGGCTCGGGAGCCGTACCATTGCCGCCATCGCCGTCGTCGCCGCCGGCGGAGGCGGCGTATTTGTCCCAGGCCAAACCGGCGACATCGCTGCCGTCGCCGTCGCCGCGGCGGCGGCAGCATCCGTAACGGCCGTACGGTCACCGCCGCAAACGGCCGTTGAGCAGCCTGTGCCCGGCGTCGCCGGCAGCAATGCTGGCGACGCCGCTGCAGCGGCGCCCGATGGATCCGACGTACAGTCACCGCCGCCGACGCCACAAAAGTTAACGTCCCGCTGAGACGTGAATGGGGACGTGCACGGCTGGTGAAGCTGTTGCTGCGGCTGTAGCTCATGATGATGCTGATGCAGCTGTGGAGGGGCGGACGCGCCAGATGACCCCATGAAGCCGGCAGCAGCGAAAGCGGCGCCGCCACCCCCGCCCGCCTCCGCCGGCGCCGCCGCCGCCGCTTGCTGGTGCTGTTCCTGATTCTGTTGTTGGTTGTCGGTTGAGGATCCAGGATCGCCGAGGAGCGCCCACATGGCCGCATTGCCAGTTGGATCACCGTCGTCTTCATCCACGTCATCATTCCAGAGATCGCATAACGAATCCAACAGTACGGGAGAACCGCCGGCAACTAAATCACCAACATCGCAGCAACCGCCGCCGCTGCCGCCGCCTCCGCCGCCCCAGGTTCCTGCGACACCCGTCACCACCTGCCCCGTCGCCCACGGCATTTGAGTCGCCGCCGCCGCCGCCGGCGGCGCTAGCCGCTGCGGCTGTAGCTGTGATTGCATGACGCAGTAGCCCATGACAGCTCCCGTGTCGCCGCCGCCGCCGCCAGTCTCCACCTTTGGTCCGGCGGCTCCACTATCCGATTTAGGCGGCTCCAGTTTCAGAGCTGCGTCGGCAAGGAGGAGGATATTAGTTGGGATGGCAGCGGCAGCGGCAGCGGCGGTGGCGGCGGCGACATGGTAATAAAGCAAGGAGGGGCCTAAAAGTGGTAACGCGGTTGCACGGTGCGTATATGGGCGGGTGAGGGGCAATTGCCAAAGTCCACGGCGGCGGCGGCGGCGGTGGCGGATGCGAACGGAAATGGTCGCCGCGGTGGCGGCAGGCAGGCAGGGCCGCGGCGGATACGACAGTCCGATTGTTGGGGGAGTAGTCCGCGCGGCGGCGGCGGCGGCGGCGGCGGGGTCTGGTTTCAATCAAAAAAATTGTTCTAAGAAGTAACTTCTTTCATAACTTCCATTCCTCCATTAATATAACGCGTTCGAGTTCATGAATGTTGCTGATAGGATGGTGGTAATACTGGCTATGTACTGGAGATCGTACTCTGGAATCCACCACCATGTGTTTTCGATACGTCTGCCATTGGGGAGGGGGGCTTACGGCGGCGTAGGTGGCGGAACCCGCTGAAACCAGTTGCCGCAACGTCACACGGCGGCGCGCCGCCAGGCAAGAGCCAAAAATAGATCTAAGCAGAGACTCACCGGTTTGCGGTGGGTCACTGCCACTCGCCGCCGCCGCCATTGACGGCGGCGGTACGACAGCAGCGGCAGCCTCGGCAGGCACGCATTCCGACGGTGCGCTTCCCAAGGCAACGCCTCCGTCGCTGCCGCCTCCGTCGACATCGCTGACGGAGGCGGGTTCCGGTGAATCCAACGACGACGACGACGACACTAGCCCAGGCACCGCCGCTGCCGCCGCTCCCCCGAGGTGCGGTCCCCCAGAGGGCGACATGGGCTCGGTGCCCAGTGATCCGCTACTGGCCCCCGCCGGTGTCGCGACCGCGGCCGCCACCGCCAGCTGTGCCGCCACCGTTAGGGCCTTATGCAGCTGCTCCGCCGCGGCTCCGAAACTTAACGGTGCGGAAGCTTGGGTGGCGGCGCCGCTGCCGCCATCCTCCTTTGGACGTTTGGGTACTCCACCTGATGAACCCTCGTCGGCGCTGGAAGTGTCCTGTGCAACGGCGGCGGCGGCGGCGGCGGCTCCGCCGCTGCTGCCATAGCCGTTGTAGCCGGCGGCGGCGGCCGCCGCCGCCGCGGCGGCGGCGGCAGCTGCCATGGGCAGTCGTAAAGGCGGAATACGTATCGTCCGCTTTCGGCTGATGCGTTGTTTGCCCTTAAGGACGGGCAGACCGTGCCGAGTGAGCCACTCGCCCAGCGGCTCGAGCTCTCCGTCCTCGCGAATGACGCGAATCGAGCTGTGGGTCGGTGGGTCGGTGATTGTCCGTACATTCAGATGCACGTGGGGCAGGCGCGGGACGAGTAGTGGCATGGGGGGGCTGGAAGGTGAGTTGGGAGGGTGAAAGGTTGTGTCGTACCGACTATGAAGCTATCCCCCCCTCCCAAACAACGTGCGTTTCATAAATACTGCGCATTTTGAGTAACTCACTAAGTTACTGATTAGTCATAACCTGTCGTACAAAAAGGTACGACATCATCATTCACGTACCGGTGCCACTTGGCCATGCTGGAGTTGCCCAGCTGGATGAGGCGATGACAATGGTGATGACGATGACGGTACGACATTGATGGTAACGGTCGTAACGGTGACGGGTGGTGGCGGTGGTAGTGGTAGTGGTGGGTAGAGTTGACGGTGGTTGGGGCGAAGTAAGGCACAGACGCGGGAATCGACAAGGATAGGAACAGACGTTAGTTATTGTATTGTTATTGAAGTTGCTATTACCGCGGGCTACCAAACTTCTGGGCTGTCTGCGAGCAAGGAAGCTCCCGTATTAATTAAGGGGGTTATTATAACTCCCCTTCGGTTCTTACCCTTCGGGGAACTTATTAAGAAGGGTATCAACGACACAAGATGCACACGAAAAGGAACGGGAAAAAACCTCAAACGACACCCTTCCTTGAATCGTCGTTTTCTTTCCATCGCATCTTTCATTTTTCCATCCAAACCTCCTATCGAAACCTCCTAACTACATTTTCTATCTACATCTCTCGTCTCCTAATAACAAATCCATGAGTCGGGGAAATGCAAGTTGGAAAGCTGCAGAGCGTCGTAGTAAAGGTTCCTGACGGTGACATGACAGGATATATTCGCTTGGAGACAAACGCCCCAGAGAGCTGCGTTAACGCATTTTTGCTGTAGAACGCACGGCAGCGCAAAGAAAGCAGCAAGCAGAAGGCAGAGGTGGTCGTGGGTAGCAGCAGTGCCTACCTTTTCAAACTTGCTGCGGCCGATGCGCTTTCCCTTGAACGTGATGCAATCTTGGGAACACATGTACAGGTCAGGGTGAAAGGTGCCGCGGACGATTCCCGCCACAAACCGGTCACGCCGACAGGATGTACGGGGCCGTACGGCGTTCGGGGTCGAAGCCTCTCCCGACGCATCCTCGTCGTTCTCATCGCCCGGCGCTCGTACGGCAACTGTGACAGGGACTGGGCCAGGCAATACAGTACCGTCCGGCGCTGTTGCTGCCGCCCCTTTAGCCATACTGCCAACGACGCGATTGATGGCACGCGTTCCGACGTCTGTCCCAGTAGAATCTTCATTGCGGCCCGTATCCCTAAAATCAAGAATGTCTCTTGCCAGCCTTTTTGCGCTGGGACCGGTGATGCCCGCCATCGGTTTCAGGAAGACAATCGCCGCGAACTTCCGACACTTGCCGCAGTACAACAAACCAAGGCGCTCAAGCGCTTGCAGCGAAAAAAGATGAACAAGATCTGCGCTTTTGATCACAGCGCCACGAAGGAACGAGAGTGTCCTACGAAAAGCAGTTGAGTGCGCTGCGGGTTCCGCGAGCAACCACAACCCTGCAGCGCAATAAATTTTGACTGTTTAGCGCAATACCTTCATGCAAAATGTTTTACATCGGGTGCGCGAGCTGCAATTTGGCCGAGCCTAGCTGTGAAGTTGCTGGCTGAGACTGCTTAAGAGCCCAGCTACGTCCGGGTTAAGGAGTATACGATTGCACTAGAGCAGTAGGTTTTAGTAACTGGGCCGATCCCAAAACGCGCCAGGATGAATGGACAATGCACAATGTCATACTGCTTGCAGAGCCCGGGCGCCTCAAAACCATCCAACTGACGCACCTGAAGATTAGAAAAGCATGTGGTTCAAGGGCAGCCAGCCTTAATATGCCTGCACCACGAGCAACCGGCCGTCTGGCGCTTAGCACGGCTGACGTTGTCAGAAAGGCTCGTATTAATACGTAGAAGTCGTGTGACAAAAATGCAAAAACCACTGGAAATCTGACGCTTCAAAATTAGTGGTTGCAAGCCATCACCAGAGTTTCTGCGTCGCCTCAAACTGTCGTATGTTTCACCTTATCAGTAGATGCACCACACTTCCAATGTTTGCTTATAGGGATGGCTGTTGAGGCTTTGACCACAACATCCGTTTCCATCACATTTTTACGACGCAAGTTACGACGTATCTGCAAGTTACACTCGAGCAAAGCCACGGAACCTCAAGTTGTGGAATACTTCTTCTTCTGTTTCCTTTAGTTTAATAACTGTACAATCTGATAAATACTGCAAGCCGTTTAGCGCTTCAATCTGGACCTTGAACTGCAAGGACTCCCCAGCGCGCTCAATTAAACTTGCAATCAGGTCAAATCACTGTAGCTGCATTTTTTTGTGTGCTATGCGACAATGGAACGGAAAACTGGCGGCAAATTTGATGGCTGGGCCCAAGCACGGCATTCTCAATAGGAGTGCCCTTTCCAAGAACGAACTGCGAAAGTAATATCTTCAAAAAATATTGCTTCAATGCAGTTATGCCTACTTGACTCTTGTCATATCCTTTCCGACGTACTGAAGCGGCCGACGGTTAAAAGCTACCGGGGGGATGCATATTGGATGCTGCAATAATCGATGCTAATGCTACCATCATCAGCTCTTTTTCGCACTGTTGAGCAAATCCAAGCAAATTACATTCTGAGTCGACCGTAAAGCGTCGCTGTCAAAGTCCCCGCAAGGAATGCGGCTATAGCCGCCAGAGGATGAACATGTACCGGGATGGGATCGTCTAAGGTCTGCAAGCCAATACTTAATATGGGTTGGAGTTGGGCGGAAATGAGTACTGGGACCATCGGCGTTGACGGAACGCGGCTCTGCCGCAGATGT